ACATTTGTATTTTGTTGTTGTTGTAGTCATTTCCTTTTCTTTGTTCGATTGCCAAGTTTGTTTTTTTAAGTACTGTTTGTATATGTATTATTATTTGCACTTTCTCTATATATTATTTTGATTTTTAGTTCTTTCTTGGCGAATATTGTTCTTATACTACTCCAGATTAGCTAGTTTGCTTCCTTGTCAGCAATATATTGCTTTTCGTCACCTTTTGTCATTCTCTTGAACTGCTTTTTTGTTGATTTGCTATCTGTATAGAACATGACTTGACTTTCTATTCCTACTACGTATAGTGCTGTAATTATTGATATTGTATTAGCCTTTGTCTTAGAGTGCTAGTTTGCTATTTGTACTCTAAAGCTCTTATTCTTATTTTGTAGCAGCTATACAACATATGCATATTTTCTATATTCTTACATTTTGACTTCTGATATGATGATGAATATTGGATTTTTTATATTTGTTGCAACCAATGCTATATTCACTAATATTGCTATGTTTTCTTTATCTTGGCATAGGCTTCTACATATATCTTTTATAGTTTGTATATTTTTGTTACTTTTAACCTCTGCTTGGCTTACTTGTTTTTCTATTAATATATGTAGTCTTTCTTCTTGTAGTGCTTGCTGAACATCCTCTATGTCACTTTTTATTTCTCTAAGACAACTTATATATAGTTTACTGTATTTTGATATATTTATCATTATCACATACTTGCCATAATGAGAGTTAGTAGATTTTACATATCTTTTGCACTGTATAGCTGACAAGTCACTATTTGGTATCCAATGTATCAACTTGATTTGTGCTGTTGTTAGGATTTTAGTTAGTCTTCCTATTATATATTGGTTATCAATTTTGGTATATATCCAATCATATTTTTGTATAGTTGTGTTCTGTATAGTAAGCAGATTAGATGTTACTAGACTCTTAGATGTTGTTTGTATATAGCTTGACCTTATCTCTTCTATTACAGTATTGTACCATTTTGGCATCCTTACTCTGTATGCTTTACCAGTACTATGGGCGACGTGACTCTATTTTTTAGTTGAATTGTTGTTGTAGTTAGTCAACTGTTCGATATAGTAAATTCAGTATTTGTTGAGTTCTTCTTTCAAATCGGTACTAGGTTTCTCTTTTTTATATTTTTTGAGTTTGCTTATTACTTCATTTATGCTTGTACCTTTCTGTTGTAATGGTATTGGCTATGAGTTATTCACATTGCTAGCAATATTACATTTTATTTTATGCATTAGTTCTATTTGCTTTGCTGTTACTGTTTCTCGTTCTTTGTTTAGTAGCTAGTAGCTATTGTGAGTAAAGACTGACCTATTGGTTGCTGTAGTGTTTTGGATTTGCTGCAACCTTAATGCGAGTGAGAATATGTTAAAATCATTACAGTTGAGTTGTTTTATAAGCAGTATCACGTGATATTGTATCTGAATGTTTTGTATACTTCTGAATGAATATATATGATAATGCAGAACTGTTGAATTTGGAACTAATTTTGCCAGTTCAGCCTTTTGTTTCACTATGCTAATACATTTTCTTATATATTTGTCTGCAGTAGCTTTACTTAGTATTGCACTTTGTATTCGATATTTGACTCTTGTTAGAACTATGTGATTAATTATATATGCTACCTGTTTTTCTGTAATTCTCACTTTTCTAATATATTTAATTGCTTCTGCTATTTCATCAGTGATTATTTTATACACTGCTATCTTTTTTGGGTGAATTGTGAACCAACATCTTAAAAAGCAAAAGGCTTATATTTGTGTGATTGACTGTATCTAGGTATTGTTAAATGCTATTGATTCAATTTAATCATTGGTTCTTGTTATTAGAATAGACTTGTTAGGATTAACTGTAATCCTTGCCATTTTGAAGAATGATGAGGCTATATCTAATATCTTGCTTAATTTGTCTCTGTTATTTGCTACCTATAGGGTATTATCCATATATGCTAGTGTTGAGTATGTTTGTTAGAGTGGAAGTAATGTTTTAGTGTTGCTAGGTATAGTTATACTAATACTACAACCTTTCACTTTCTAGATTAACTCCATTAGCAATAAGTTATAGTATATCCTCTATAATATGGGCACTATCATCTCTCTCTGGTCTATGCCATTATGGACTTGATAGCTTTGAGTATTACCAAAGTTAGTTATAATCTGATTTGTTCTTTTCACAAAGATATTGCTTAATAGGTCGATTATTAGCTTAGGTATCTTGATTCTCTGCATAGCTTTTATGAGTAATAGTATATGTATTGAGTCGTATGCTTTACTCATGTCTTGAGACAGTAGCCATAGTTCCTTGTTATTTATATTTGCATCCTCTATTATATGCATTAGGATGTGAATTGGTTTAGCTATTGATATTCTTGGAAGCACGACATAGTTATATGAGCTTAGGATATCATATTTGGCTAGCACTTTAGTCATTTTATTTGATAAGATTTTTGTTGGTATCTTTCTTGCATACTCAATCAGTAAGATGAGCATGTTTGATTAAGGTCATCTGTGAACATTAGTTTTTTCAATATTGGATACACTATTCCTTTTTTCTACTGTGTTAGTATATTTTGTATTCTTATACATGTATTATATATCTCTGTTAAAAGTGTGATTGCTCTAGCTCCTAAGTGCTTTAAGTTCTTATTTGTTATATCAGTATAACTAGCTGCTTTCTTAATTGGTACTTCGTGAATTATATTAATTACTTCTTCTTTTGTAATAGGTTCAAGGAGTCCTTCAAACTATATACTGTTGATGCTTAGTTTTGGTCTGTACTAATCTTGCTATAGCTTCTATACGTCTATATCTATATTATTGAGCTTCATCTAGTTCTCGAAGTGATAAGCAATTTGGTTCTTAATCTGCTCTGGGTCTGTTATTATATTATTATGTAATTTGATATTGTTTAGCACTACTGGGTTTCTTGTTCATTTTAGAATGCTACTTATCATTCTTTTGATATTTGAGCTGAAGTTCTCATATCTCTGCTCAATATAGTTTTGTATAGTTGATCTATTAAGCTATTCATTCTCTAGCTTTTATGCCTTTGTTACTGCATTACGTGTTGTTTTAATTTCTTTGATAATTTTTTCTATTCTACAATCAGTAGCAATTATAGGCAACTCTACATCTGCTAGCTAGTTGATTTCTTTAACGTCTTCATTGAGTGCTTTGATATCTCTTGTTGGTTGGTTAGTACACAGTGCTCTTAGTAGCCTACTGATTTTAATTAATGCTTTTTGTAGCTTAGACCTATTCTTTTTTTACGTCATTTTTCTATTATTTTTCTTTTTAACATGTAGTATATATTTTTTATTTGCTTTTTGTATTATTATTGTAAGCTTGTTCTAGCAAGAATCTAGTTGTTTTTTTGTTTCTATTATTATTTCTAAGCTAGTATCTATTTCAGATACCTATGTCTCTACCTCTTGTATAAATAGCTCCTATTGTTCTCGTATTGCTTTGTTGAATTGGTATACTGTTCTTTTTCTTAATTTTTTGTTTGTTTTGTTACTTACGATTCTTATTTTCCATGATGTAAACAATATAATATAGTCACTATTTGTTACATGTTCAGCACTATCTACTGACAGAGAGCTAAATGATTATAGGACTCTTGCTGGAATCTATATGTTATCTATTTGACTTTCACTCTGGTTTGACCTCCATATCAGTATACAATATTAGATGCTATTATTGAGCTAATTATTCTCTGTTGTTCTATAAAATTAAACAAAGGCAGCTTACATTTTTTCTTTTTTTCATCGTGATTGAAGTCTCCCATTACTATTGATGTAATACCTTTTTTGTTTGCCTCTTTTATCTAATCTATTACTATACTCTGAGTACGTTGATTACTAGATTTGTTATTTGGGAGTAGGTATATAGATATTACTCGAATTTTATTTTTTTGAGGCATAAATAGGTCTATTGCAATTGTATATTCTGCTAGTATTTGAATATTATGTATGTATTTTTGGAATATTTTTTTTAGAGCTATTGCTATCTCAGCACTTGTCTCTCTTTTTTTGCTATTTTCTAGTATATTATTTGCCATATATAAATTGTAATATCAGTTTTCAATTGTGTTTCGATAATATGTAGATTCTGCAAGTATAGTTTCTGTCATACTTATGATGTGTACCTTTTTTTCTATACAGTAATCGAACCATAATTGTTGTTTAGTTATGTTATTTATTCCCCTAATATTATATATGATAATGTTTAACTCATTTATTACAGAGATATTGTTTTTAGTTATTGTTAATTAGTTGAATATGTCCTACTTGAGTTCCAGAAGTGAAGCAAGTTCTAGTAAATATTGTGGTATATTTGTTATTATGAAGTGCTGTCTTAGGCTGTTGAGTATTAGCGTAACATTTTATTGTATTGTAATAGGTATAGCATTAACATCTATATTAGATAATTCTGCTACGATTTGTTTTAGTTCTTCTAGTGTAACTGGTACTAGCTGCAGATTACTCTCATTAGTTCTAATATCTTCACTATTTTCTTTGATCTCAATTCAATCATTAGGGATTTTATAGAAGTAATATTTGGTTCTAAGCAGCCTTGCTATTTCAACTAGTTGTTTAGTTGTTGTTATCAGGAGAGTCAAATTGAATTCCTCAATTTGTGTAGATTCTAGTGGAAGCTATAGTTTGTCAGTTGGGTTTGCTGTTGATATTTTAGGATCTAGTAGTAGTCTAACTCTGTATCATCTTCTAATTTCAAGAAGAAAAAGCTTTGCTTCTTCATCATTTGAGATAGGATATGTGAAGTTTGAAATTGATTTAATATATTAAGGATCTTTGGATAGCTGTGACTTTTGTATAAAGTAGTTATTAGGTATATTTGAGAATTTGTAATATTCTTTAAGTTTATAAACTACTTCTTGTAATATGATTAATTTGTCAGATATATCAAGTGGAAACAGATTTCGAACTGCACTATTTAGTTCTTAATAGGCTGTTAGCAGAGGCAATTTAGGTAGCAAAAGCTTGAAAAATGATTTTAGTATTTTATTGACCTCATAGTATAGTGCAAGCTTCCTTCTATAGTATGACAGATTGCTAAGTTCAAATCTTTTTATAATTGAGAAGAGGTCTCTTACTTTATCTCTTAAGTTTCTATAACTTGTTAGCAATGTTAGCAACTTAATAAAGTAAGATGAAAGGAGCTGTTCAAATTGAAATATTAGCCTGAGCATATTCACTATTGCTCCAGTTTGTGTTCATTCTGAATGGACAAACTGAATAGTAATATCTCTGCGATCTTTTGTTCGATTTCCTGTAGTGTATTGAGTAGCTTTTTAAAATTAGCTTTTTTTGCATTTTGAATAGCTATCCATATCAATTTGCCTTCTATTTTAGACTATGTTTTTATGAACTCCCTGCAGTATTTGATAGTTGCATATATATTTCTATTCTCTAACCTAAAGAAGTTTGTTCCTGCCAAGTAGTTGATTACTAATTTTTGCCTAAGTTTAGTTTAGATACGATTTCTAGTAACCCTATTGACTAGGGTCAGTTTGTTCTTATCTTTATACTTATTAATTGCATCTCTTAACATATTAGTAAACTCAGTTTGGTATGCTGGAGTTGTTCTTTTGTTGTTCGTGAATGAGGTAAAAAATGCTATATCAAAATATTTAAACTTCAGGCTAATCGCTTGTAGCAGGTGGATTTCTGCTAGCTTAGTATTGAGTTTGTAGCTAATTAGCTCTTCAATACCTTCTTAAGTCTCTAAGGCCTGTATAATTCTGTTGTTATACCATTCTTTTAGAGAAAATATGTTTCTAATATACTCACTTAGTCTCTCTATAACTTGACTTGTCTAACTATGACTTAAAGATCTATCTTCTAACTATCTGTCTTCTCTGTTAGATTCTGTCATTGCTTGCTATACTGCTTGACTATATAGTATAGATCTTATCTGTAGGCTGTCAATTAATTTTCTGTGATCTGACCTATTTT